CGAGCTAAATTTATTTGTTCGAAACATGCGGAACAAATCCCGAATCGCCCATTCGCCGGCATAATCTGCTTAAAACATTTCCATTATTGTAATTATTACTGCCCATTATTAATTTGGCGTAATGTATACTAAGCACGCCACACAGCCAACGTTTGCTTTTCAGGTCGTTGAATAACAGATTGCGCGAGTATGTCAGGTGGTCATTGAAGTTGCATTTATATACAGATTTCCTGCAACCTTACGTAAACATAGCGTTACGCTAGATTTTCTCTAGATGATAATTAATGGCGTTAATTAATACGATTTTAAGAAGAATGAGTCGCTTGATTGAATGATAGAATTCGTTAAACAGCATTAATAAAAGAAAATGACCTACCTGTGCGCGAATAAACGCGTAGGCGGTAATATAGAAGCAAAGGATTCGGTACAGTAAATCATCGACAGGATTTTACGGCGCGATAAATATTCGAAACGTCGCGTATCCATGGATAGGAGCGCGACGTCTGGAGTTAGACGTAACGTAATATTATCTTAGTCACGATTCGTGCACCGGCTGCGAGCGAAACAAGAAGAAATAGGAATGTGAAAGAAAAGGGAGATCGTACGTGCGCCGAATTCCCGATACCTACCTACGACAGTCACAGTCGCAGGACTCGCAGGAACGCCAACGCCGCCGCGCGAACTCGCTTTGATTTGCATACATTTATTGATGCACCAGATGTTGTCGACGACCGCGTGCAATTATTGAACTTAAACGTCCGATGGCTTCGCCTGGTCGCTAATGCTGCTTAATTCAATTAGTGCCATTAAAATTTCGAGAATGTCCTAACTGTGTTTGTCGTCTACTGCTATATTCTATACGGCTATATTTATGCGAATTGCCCGAGGTGACTCATACAAATTCGCCGTTGCATTATAAGTCTATAGAGTGTCTATGTTCGAGCGCTGCAAACAGTAGAAAGAGAGAATCAGTCGAACTGTGGAGAGGTGCGATGAATCGGCGGACGAATGTAGCACTCGAACATAGACACAGTGTATACCTGCAACGCTCATATTTAATTTATAGAGATTATAGAACAAATCTAAAGAACTGTTAAATCTTGTAACAAAATAGAACTCGCTCAAAACTAGAATGAAAAATCCAGCTATTTATTGACGATTTTTTAAAATATTAGCAGCTGATTATCCTGCTCCTGAGTCACGTTCTTGTAGGTATAAGTAAAAAATACGTGTGCGTCGAGTGTAGTAAAATTATTTAGATTGTTTACTAATATTGTTCCTTAGATCGTAAAAGATGTCTGCGTATGGTTGCGAGCAACGAATCATTCATTCAGCATTTATAACATAATAGAAAGTTTTATGTGCAAGTTCATTGTTTAGAATGATTTAATGCGTTTGTGATTAATGATTGATTGTTTGGACGTTTTTATTGAATTATTTAATCAGTTTTCGAGTAAAAAGTATTAATTTCATTCCAAGAAATGTATTATAAATTTGATAGTGATTAGTGATATGATGATTGAATTTTCTATTAAATTATAGAGGAATCTTTTTTGTTCAATATTAAGTAATTATTTTTTAATTTATGGATCCTAACGTATCGTACTTATCGTATAAGATTAGCCGATTTCTTCAAACAAGAAAATTACTAAAATATTACTAGCACTAAATAAATTTAAAATAATACTATTGACATAGTCAAATATACGTTTCAAAGGTATTCTTGTTCAATACCCACCTATCGTATACCTACGGAAAACGTGAATTTTAACTTTTCTGGTCGCGTAAGTCTTATCTTTAATGCATACATGACAGAAGAGAACCATTAATATCCTGAAAGTAGATAGTGCATCTCACGCATTCCTTCATTGGTTAGGGATCATTTACCTTATACCTCGACGCATAAACAATCAATGTTTATTTCTCAATCTAGTAGTAAATTTGTCGAACGCAGAGAACGGAATAAATTTCACTAAACCCCGTTGCCATATATCACACACTTATCAGATCGAATAAACAATGCAGCCCGTAATTCAACCTAGTTAAAATGTCACGTGTTATGAGCATTAGTTGTTTAAAATATTGAAAATAAAATATATTTTATTATTCAATTATTTGCTTAAATATGTTAAATTTTGTGTGCAAATTAAAGAAAGATAAGGGTATAATTACTATAAATTATACGTAGCTATTTTTTTGGTTGTAATTGTAGGTAAAGAATTTTTTAATTAAGATATCCCACAATCGTTTGAATTAAGGAATAGCCAGTTAAATTCGATCGGCAATTAAATCATTGGTAGATTAACCAGAAAAAGTCGAAAACCTCCATTCGAAAGTTTCAATCAGTTAAGAGGACAAGTCCCTTACCTCAAATTAGACACAATGGTCAAAGACCCTTTCTCTTTCTCGCTCTTCTTCAGACATGACTTCGTCCGGTTGTGGAAGCATTATGGCGGACATCGTAACCATAGCAACGGACCCCGGGTGGCGAAGCTGCACCCCTCTTGTACTGTGTTTCGTAAGTCGAGCCAAAATATCGCGCGGGGTTGATTGAGAATTGCGTCCCAGGTTGGGAGAACAAGGGTAGTTTGTTAACTCCCGCGTGGACCTTCTGTCTGAACCTGAATAAACAAAAATGTTTGTATAAGTAATAATGATTGTGCGTTAGAAGGAAAATGAGCTTGTGTAGAAATCACAGCTCAAATAAGCAGAATTGGAGAATAGTAACTGGAGATTTAATAATAGAATCTGTAAAAAATCTGGCCTTCAAAAGTAAAGCCCTTAAAAGTCCTAAATAAATTTCCATTAATAACTTGTACCAAATTTATCTTCCTAAAAGTAGGTACTATACTCTAAAAAAAGTTCATCGGCTAAAATATATGAAGACAGTTTGAGACCTTATTAAATGGATCTCCCTTCATTTTATTTCAATTCTATGTTAATTAATCTAATTAATATCCTGTGGTTAAATATGTATATTTTAACCGTTAGCTATCGGCTCTTGAAAACACATCATAATTTCAATTTTCAATGAACAATTTTGAATTTAGCTGAATTCTCGAGACAGGTCGATTTTTGAATATAAATTAGTGCTTTTAAATTTACTATTCACTATACAGGCTGAACGGTTTTAAGAAATCAAAACCAGCTATTTGTTTCATAGCATAAATTATACTATATATTTTTTTGCTTCTCGACCCTCTTTTCAGCAATAACTTTATTAGCATGCATTTATGCAAAATAATGCGGTAAACCTACTAACTTATAGTGTCTACAAACCAAAAACGCCCACACATAAATTTCCCCAAGAAACCATCTCAAACAATACACATTCAATTTCACCGTGCCCTCTTCGACGATTGTCAATACTACACCGCCTAATTTAATAAATTACTCGGTCGCCATTAGAAGATTAGAAATGACCTTCGGAATGGTTGTTGGGTTGTCGGGAAGGCATTTGCCATCATCATTTTGTCTGCAGTCGCCATTTCGGAAGAATTATGGCCGAGTCGAATGTGCGTAAGTTATGCCTGTAAACAGACACTTTACATAACGAGATGTTAACCCCAACTGCGCCCTCAGGTCTAGAGGGAACCGTGTAAGTGCGCCTACAGGGAGAAACTATCCGAACAAATTTTATTTTATTTTTAACATGTATTATGCAAATGTAATGTTTTTGCCATTAAATCTGTAATTTACTATCAATTAATTATGAAAACAAATCTGGGTAGATAATAATTTTCTCTCTGAAGAAATATCTTCATTGTCATAGTTTTTGAATATTTTCGTATATAGTTTTTTATTTTAGATGTTCATATAAATTTATTATTGATTCACCTAATATTTTTATTAAATAATAGATACTTGTTTTAAGAATCTCTGATAATTTCCCTACGGTGTTACTGTCTGTAGCCTTTATCATCCTGTACATCGCATTTTTTGCCCATCTACAATTTTCGGTGTAAGATTTCAGACAAGACCTCCCGTAGTCACCCTCCGTTCAGAATAAATCAGTGTCAGGAAAACGTGTAGTGTGGGGAATGGGGCATAATAGGACGGCGAACGAGATACTCTGATAGATGAGGATTTTTTCATTCGTTCTTTATCTCTGTTTTATTGCTTCACTTTCTTATTGGCTGGATTTTCAAGTTTAAAATGCTCGAATAAAATCTCACAATTTGTTCTCAAAAATAAGTAAATACCTTTTTTATGAATAAAAATACAGTATTTGTAATAAATTAATAAGAGTTGCAAAAACATAGTGGCTTTAGAGTTAGAGTTTCTCGGTTGAAATAAATCCCGAAACCAGACTGAAAGAAATATACTCTCTAGAGACTTGAATAAAATAGTCATTTCATCTGTGTGTAGTGGTGGTCAATAAAATTTACAGGTTTTACTAAATAGAAATTTCATCACAATACCCCTTTCGCTGAAAATAGACTACTTTCACGATTTCTCCTCATTCTTTAGTTTTTCAACTATTTAAAAAAAGGGTTTTTTTTACAACGGCCCTCTTTGAGCCATAAAAAAGAAAGTTCCATTCAGTAAAAGTTTTTATTACCTTGTAGATTTCCAAAGGGTTTACTAAACATGATAATAGACTTTTTGGAAGTAGAAATTGTGAAAGTTTTATCAGTTGCGAAGGGCTAAAGGGAGTAAATGCAGTGTTTTTTCTTTCGTTGGAACTCTCTTATGGAAATCGTAAACCAAATTCGTTATTTCATACGAGATTAAGCTAATTTATTGGACAAACAAATTTATTGTAGATGCTATAAGATACTTATAGAAAACTAATTTAGTTTCCCTCCAGTATAATCATCATTAAATTCAATTCAGATAAACCATTTTCTATTGGTTTACAACAAATGTTTATGAAAATAGGGAACGTAATCTTCAATAGTTTTAAAAATATATTAGTAGATGTAGTTTGAATGTGTATGCATATAGTCGAAAGAATCCAAGCAATTTCAATATGAATTAACCTTAAGATTTGTTCTCAGGTCCGAACGGCTGTCCTAGGCGAAGAGGCAGGCAAACCTACACCCGCTTCCAAACCTTAGAACTCGAAAAGGAATTCCACTTCAACCACTACCTGACGAGGAGAAGGCGCATCGAAATTGCGCACGCCCTGTGCCTGACGGAAAGGCAGATAAAAATTTGGTTCCAAAACAGGCGGATGAAGCTGAAAAAAGAGCTGCGGGCGGTGAAGGAGATCAACGAACAGGCGAGGCGAGAGCGCGAGGAACAGGAGCGACACAAGCAACAGCAGCAGGAGAAGCAGCAAAAGTTGGAACAGAACCTGCACTCGCACCATCACGATCCGATGAAGATGAATCTAGACAAATCGGCCAGCTCGGATCTTCTCAAAGCCGTTACGAAAGTTCCCACATAAACGCAATCGGTGATAGAATGTTTTTCGACTCTTTGTGTTAAATAATATATACGTAGATCAAAGTGAGGTTAAGCTCGTTTCACGTTCGTTGTAAAATCGGACTTCTCGAAAGCGTTTTTACCATAGAATATATCATTACTTGCGGTTTTTTCAACGCTGGGATGCTGCTGCTATCGTCTACAAGTCGGATTGGAGTTTGCGTAAAACGAACTGTTGGTATTCAATTTTGCTCGTTGCAGAAATAAAAATGCTATGATTTATCTACAAATACTCATCTGCGAGTTGAATTCAATGTCTACAAATTAAAACTTTCCAAGTAATTGGAGAGTAGGTACCAGTGTTTTAACGTAACAGGAGCAAAAAATCGAGTTATTAGACGGCGAAAGTGATGAAGAAGAACTCTCCTAGCAGTATTTTTAGCTTCGTTAAATTGTGTTTTTAATTCGTTGTAAATATGGGTAGTGTATTTCACGTTAATATGTTTTTATACTTAAAAGTAACTATATTTTCTTTTTATTGAGTTTTTTTTATTAACGATCAGATTGCTGATCTAAACTTGACGTTATTTTACGTACCATTGTTGTGATTAATTATTCCTTGTTTGTTTTTATGTGTGGCATTTTCGAATGCCCTTATCACTTATTGTGATGCTCCAGTGAGCACGTAATTTGTGTTTTTGATAGATTTTTTAGAGTGAAAAAAAATATTGGAAATTTTCTTTTTAAGCAATGTTTGTGAATTTTAAAAATATGATCTTTAAATATTTATTTTATGCTCTTTCATTATCGATTCTTATATTTTCGAATAAGTACAAAATAAGTATAAAGAAAAATCGATAAGAAAATTTATAAGTGGAGGATTTTCTGTAGATAACTGGCGCAATCATCTAATTTATTTTCACTCTAAAAATTGCCCTTCATTTAGGTACCTATACCACATTTACTTATCTGCATTTAGAGTGAAGCAAATTTTGGGAATTTATAGTTTTACACCATTCTATGATTGTTGTATTTTGTATTAATTCTTAATGATTATTTGTTTATTCCAATTGTCATTGCTAAAATGAGCTATATTAGAGGCAGCTATATTACAAAATTCTGATATAGAATTCTCATCCAAAATTATCAACAAAAAATTCTTCAATGCAAGTCCCAACTTTTGCTGTCACCTAGTATTCGATATATTGCAATATTTATTTGTTATTTGTTAAATTTTTGTTTATTTTCCTATTGTGCCAAGCTTGTTAAGCTATTTTCAGCCGCCATTTCGACGAAATGAATATATTTTTTAAAAAGTAATAAGTAGATTTCCGATAAAATTTGATATTCTGGCCGAGTAATTTTACTCTAAATACTCTTAATACGTAATTTGGTGTCAGGGTAGAAAACAAACAAAATACCATAAAAATTGTTCTTCGACAAAAAGGAGCAGTTTTCCTACTAATATTCAATACCAGTTACGAACGGTTTGGTATATAAATCTCGATCGAATTAATAGAATATTTTTTACAAATTTACGCAAAAATGGCGTTACGTTATTTTTCGATATAGGTCAAATGTCATTATTGGCAATTAAGTTGTAGTTTAAACTCATATTAATTATTGACAGTTCTGATAATTGATAAAATCAATCAAATAACGTAACATAATTTTACGTAACTTCGCAAAAACACAATTTATCCAAATTATTCCATCAAATCCAATAATTATTTTGCAACCTTTTTATGGGATTTATAAACCAACCAAAATATCTAAAATATTGAAAATATATTCTTGTCTTTTCTAATTCTATCAGGTGTAAAATATTTTCTTAGAGATCGATGTTGTTTTGTGATTATACTATGTAATAGTTCAGCCGGTGGGACGCAAACATCCCTTACCGGCACCCAATTATAGATACGTAAAATTGTACAATATTTTCAGAGCAACACAAAATGTAAATTTTAATAATTGTATAGTTTCTGTTGGATATGTAAAAATATACACGTATACGCAATTTTTCTTTTTAGTACAGAAATCTTAAAAATATTTATCAGAGGAAACTCGTTATTTCACGATTGATCTATTGTATAAATCAAATTAAATTTTAATTAAAAACACAAATAATAATATGGTTCTACAATATAGAAAATTTTCACTATTTTCCAAAATTTATTTAAGCAGAAAAATTACGTTTTTATTATAATTTTCAAATTATTCATATTGTAAACATTAACAGATTCATTTTGAAATAACGATAACGTTAAGGCAGTCTCGTTGAGGAATTTTATTCAACCGACCCAACAATGGGCTCATTCGATAAAATTTAGAATTTGATCAAACTTTATATACATAAAGAAGAGGTCAAAAAAAATGGTTACTGAAATTTGCAAGTTGATCCGATCAGCGGTTCTTTGATTATTTGAGTTTAAAGATGCGATTATTTGTCTCCGCGATAGTACGATGATGACGTCACTGCATGCGATCTCTCCGCTGTCCGCTTCGCATTCACTTAACTTGCATTGCATTCGCGATCGTTTCGTCTTTTTAACGACTATGTTTAATTGATTATATAGGGTAATTATAATAAATAATTATTGCTAATTGTAAGTATAATATTTTGGTTATCGATCAATGAGATTAGGTACGTAAAAATATTTAGGAATACCTAAATAATAACTAATACCTACCTATGTAAGTTTTGGATTTTGCTTTATAACATGTATTACCCTTTTTATAATGTTCTCTTTTTCATTAGACCAAGTTGACTCAGAATTAACAAAAAATGATCCCGATCAAGTAGTCACAAATTCTGAAGAATCACTTGAAGAAATAGGAAGAGTGTCATCTAATTTACTAGTAAAATCATATGGTAACTGTCCCGACCGGGTCAAATCACACTGAGTATGTTTTGAAAAAAGATTGGGCATTATGTTTATATAAACTTGAATTTTTTATGACAGGCCTTATTTGTATTAGTGTTGTTTAAATTTTTATCCATTGTCAAATTCACATCATCCATATCATCGTTCTGTTCATTCCGAGTACTTTTAGAACAACTAGATAAATCCTCGATAGTAGTTTACCGCTGTCTTTTTAAAAATATTGTTCTTGCTTGTACAGTGTGTTTAACGCTTTGAACTTTTTGGCAGTCGAAGATATTAGGTACAACATCCTGCTTTATTGGGAATTAGCCATTGTTTTAAAATACATGTAATTTTCCATGTCGTTTTCAAACTAAAAAATTTAATTTTACTAAGCAAACTAATTATTATAATTAGTGTGACAAATGTGACAAATGTGACAAAATGTGTTGACTTAGTACTAACCAGCATACTTCTTTTCATGGATTTTTGTCACAATTTGTTTTTTCTTAAATCGCGCGGAAGACTAATAAATATTTTATTAGGCGTCTTAAAACTATTGCTTCGACATTTGGGAACAATGCAATATTTATAACTATTTTTTGATTTATTGTCCGTCATTATTTAAAACTCCCTGAGGCCTATTTAAAACCCTAAGAACGCGTTCAATCGACAGCCTATATTACAAATCTGTTCTCGCAACGCATGCAGTGACGTCACAGTCAATTCGAGCGAACGCCTTTTTAAGGCCTTTTTAAGTGACTTCTACATGGAATTTAATTCTGATTTTTTGCATAGTGACTTAAAATTGTGTGATCTTTCCAAAAAGCAAATAAAAAAAAAGTGTCGAATGAGCCCATTCCCTAACAGTTTTCTAATTTTAATAAATCCATTAAAAATCTCTCCATTGTAATTTTTACTAATAATGTTGTATAGAACATTTTGTGTAAATAATTAAAGTAATATAGGGCTATTATATGTAGATGTATCGACGTACCTACTACAAAAAATCTTTATTCGAGCATCTTGGACTGATTAATGCTTTTAAGAGAAGCTTGTTGTTATTTGTAGAATAACTTTCTAGTTTAAATAAACAGTGTATTGTAGTACAATTATCGTTAAACTTGCCGCGTTTACATTTACGATAAACAAATAACTAACATACTACCTATTTATAATTCCCCATATATTTTACAGGACGATACTTCATAAATTCTCTTTAAACGTTGTTATAATGAAAAAGGTAAGTCGAACATGCTCAGTACCTCACTTAAAATTAACCTCGTGGTAGGTTAATGCTTCTATAGCACAAATGTATAATTACTTTAGAATTATACAGAGTGTTCTCTTTTGTAGTAATTTATTTTAATGTGCAATTTTTCAAGTGATTAAGAGGAAAATTCATAAAATCATATGAAAAAAGGTAATTTATAAATTTTGAAACTTTAAAATTGTGCTTTCCTTCATATTTACCTGAAGAATTACACTCTAAAATATTTACAGGTCATTAAGTAACAATCTGTATACTTAAGTACTATTGAGTTAGTATTAAAATATGAAAAGAATTATTGAAGTTTCATCCTCTATATTGATCTTAATAAAATTCCGGCCCTTCTAATATCGTGTGAATGTATTTTGCTTGAAAGTGGTGACGCGTATATTGCAAATTTAAATACATCTATATGTTTATTCCAATTTCAATAAGATACTTCATATTTGCATATTTTGATGCAACACAAAGCTAGATAAATCCTATACTGGATATATGTTCAAAATTAATTTAAACCGTACTAACTAATAGTTTATATGATGTATTTATCTCTGTAATATCTAAATATTTAGCTGTGATAGAGAATTTTTTAAAACAGTCTCGTTTGAATTTGGTAGAAATACAAGTAGGTTTACAATGGTTAAAATATACATATTTTATGTATTGTAAAAAATATGCCCAGCATATTAACAATTGATCCAGTTTCCTTGTTTTACAACCAATTTTAAATTAACGTCACCAAAGTAACTGGCATCAATCCATTTCAACAATTAAATTTTTGGTTATATTCTTAAGCTTAAAAAGCGATAAATTGGTATTTAAATAATTTGTTGGGATAGTGGACAAGTGCAATATTTTCCTCAAAATTTAAGTACAACAATTACTTTTTTAATTAGTTAATTACTTTGTTAAATTTTTTCTTTATTGTTGTCGTTTTGTTAACTTAGTTATGGTTTGTGCAATTTTATCGATTTTATAATACACGCATAAAACGATACAGAGCATGAATTTGGTACAATTTTCATAATATTTTTAAATTAATTATATACTTGTTTAAATCATTGTAAACCTACTGATGCAAGTACTTGCACGTAATTTTTAAAAATTCATAATTTTTGAAGTAACCCCTGTTTAAATGCAACCTCAATGTCAGGATTAATATTTAAATTGTAAGCAAATTCACTAAACTTTTGTTAAAAAATTAAAAATATATGAGTTAATGATATACCTACCTACAATAAATCTTATTTTGTTTATCTCAAGTTGAACAGAAAGCATTCCAGACATTGAGCTATGTGTAAAAAATATTTATTGCTGCTTTGATATTTTATAATTATTATTTAAACGTTTAAGAGATGAATATTCATATCATTTGAACAATGCGCGATTGAAAGTTTTTTGTCGGATTGATTGTATTTCAAGGTAATTTATAAAATGTTTATATTGTCGTATTTAGAGTAAGTGTACATGTTTCGTACTTGTATGATGTAGATTTTACTCAAAAGCTCTCTAAAAGCCGAATTATACTTGAATGTACTATAAACTCTTAGGTAATACTATGGTATAGTGTTACTTTTGCTTTGATGCCATGTTTCTTAACTGTATAACCTTATAATATGTATTGTACAGACTGTCTGAACTGAATAAATATTCTTTGGAAACATTTGTTATTTTTTCTTTCTAGCACCATTATTCCCTAAACAATTATAGATACTGATTCAAATACCTTATCATCCAATAAGAAGTTGATACTTTTATTTCAAGAGAATAATTTATTTTTATTCGTAAAAATTAATTTAATTTGACAGAAAATTAGTAATTGATATTGCTTAAGCATAATCTATTAAAACAGATGTGTGTTATAGTTATTTATTGCATTGTTTTTTTGTTTTCAGAAATAATGATATTGTAGACAAACAAAGTCAAAGTGAAGATGAATATTCAGGTATGTAATTGATTGATTTTTTTAAATAAGTATAAGTAGAACATTAAAGCACATTAATCGCGGTTATTAGCACATGTTTGCAATTGTCATTAATCAGCTACAGTATTTACGTATTTAAATGAGAAAAATATTTTTGGAAGAGATTACCAATTATAGTCCAATTTTTATACATCTATTCACGCTATATTTCTGTTTTCTTTTATAAAATACAAATAAATATAGGGCGAACACATTTTTCATCCATAAAGTAAAATTACTGAATTAATTCGCCAATTTCCGCCTATACTAGCGAACAGAAACTACATCAACAAAATTATAAACGAATAGGAAGAAACGGCCGAAAATAGAAGTAAGTGGTGCTAAAAAAGCTGTGAATTCCAAAATAAATATCTGAATGTATAATGAAAAAGTGAACATAACAATATGTTCCGGGGATATAATACGCATTCCTCCGGTTTTCGTTTTCCCTTTTACTACATAATAATAGTGAGCTGTATGGGTCGTGAGGCTGTGTCTGGAACGCAGTTGACTCGGCGTAAGGAAACGGGGAATAGCCTAGGAAAGCGGGCGTTAGGCTGAGAGAAAATAGTCCATGCCGGGGATAAATTGATCAATTCAATAACCGCAATGTGACACTAAAGTTTTCTGTTTCTACACAGTTATGTTTTTACAAGCAATATTGCTTCATGTTGCGTGTTATTAAAGTTCCGCTCAAATGATAGGGCGTTATTAATAAAAACACTATGCGTAGGATATGAAGAAGATATATTGAAAAATTTTTCCATATAATTTATGTATATGAATTGAGCCGTTAGAGAATTTTTTGAGACTTGTAGAGAAGAATGTAATGAATTGTTACAAAGTAATTTTGTTGTGATTAATGTCTGTGGAACCTTCTTTGAGAAATAAAAATTTTAAATTCTTATAATGAAAAATTGTAGATACTATAACGAAATGCTTTCACTGTTAAATACTAAGCTTATATAACGTACCTAATGTTTAATGGTGTGTACTATAATTTAAATGCCATGACTTGTATAGGGGAACTACCCTTAAACTCTCGTATCAAGATAGAATATCGAATTTAGTTATTATAGAGCCTACGATATAAAGCTACTGGCGAAGAATAGGAAGCTACTTATCGTGTATATAGCCTAAATTAGCCAAAGGTTATATCCGGGGTTGGAAGAATTATGGGGAAAAATTCACATTTTTTTATGTCCCAAGATCTTGTTTAATTCAAATTCACAAAATCTAAATCACTTTTCCTTCTATTTTTGTTGTATGTA